TGTGTCATGTTCAGTGGTATGTTTTCTATAAGTTTTATGTCTTGAAGATCCATTAAAACTCGAATTGCCTACGAATTTCAAATTTCGTGAAGCTGAATCAGTGAGAGAATCAACTGTAATGTCAGAGTAACTAGTATGTTAGATTTTTTTTGTTTGCTGGTCTCCTTTTTGTTATTGTAGTCTGAAATATTGTTCTACTTTTGTTATTTTTGGAAAATAAATTTCAGGGTTTTCCATGAAAAGTTAATATGCTATTTAATAGTTTCATCTCATTCAGTTAATATATGGTTATACAGATTATACAAAGATAAGATTAGAGTGTACCATTGTTTATATAATATCAAATAAAATGTGTAGATATATATTAGGCCATGAAACATTCAAATTGTTGGTCTCCACATGGGTGCGCAAAACCTATCTTTGCCCAGCCAATCATAGTACTATGTATCTTTTGCTAATCCTGTCTTTATTCCGTTTATTTTGATTTTATTCATTACATTTATTGAGTTTTAAAATCTTAAATCATAATTATTTTCCATGGTCAGTTAACGTGTGCATAAAAACAATATAGTAAATATATAAAATAATCCATATTTCGGAACATTTTATATTACCATATAAATCTAGCTATCGTTGAAATGTTGTTGTTCACACGTACAAAACTTATTAAATTATTCTTGATATCTTATTCCGGTTTTATACGCATCTTAGAATCCTCGTTTATTAATTACCAAACACTTAATTCAAATAAATAAATTAATAAACATTTAATGGAAAGTTTACTTGATCAACTATAATTTCAATATCAAAATTAAGATGAATTTTAATCATCTAATAATGCGAAATGTGGCCCTTGGCCCTTATGGGTGCTAAGGGACACTTTGATTAAATAACATAAAAATACACATACACACGAGCATCTACACAATATACAGTCCATTATGTAAGATAACAGGTGTCAAGCAATAAAGCTACTTATACAAAATTCTATTTCCAACCATTGTGGCGCAATAATGACTAGTGTGAAGACAATCATTCACACAAAAACATACGTTGATTGGTAATTTATCCTTTTTGTACCATTTTATGATCTATAATAGAACTTTACTTTGATTGGAGATTATAAGGCCAAAATGTTTATAGATGTTTAAACCCTGATTATTCTTTGCACTATCGTTCTCTTTTTGGTACGTATAAAACCTACTATACCATTCATGTCTTTTTTTGTAACTATACTATACCATTCATGTTGCGTGGCAACTTGTAGACATATTAATTAATTTGTTAAATTTCTAACTAGACAACAGATTTTCTAAGTTTTTTGTGTAATAATAATAGATTGACATCATGATTCATGCCAAGCTCGACCAAAAATGTGTGTTATCTATATATAAATGGTGGTTACGAACGGTGAATAATGTAATAACACGTGGGCACCTGATCCATATACAGAAAAACTTGTAACTCTCTACTTTTAATAGAGCTCCCAAAGAGAGGGACGGCTTCTGCCAGAGAACAACCCTCATCCAAATAACGATCTTTTAAACAGTAAACACACGTATTGTGAATTGAATGATATTTCCATTGACCTCAAGACCAAAATAAGAAAGAGTCACAATATAAATAAACGTAATTCTCTGTATTTTTATTAATTTTGTCAATGATAAGAATTAAAACGTCCGATTAAAAATCTTGTGAATAATGAACCATAACCACAAATTGTCGACATGCAAAATAAATTGCTTAATAATGAACAAAGGATATTGAACAAATCAACTAGCAAACTTCGCAAAAAATCAAATATTTATATTACATGCTAAACTTCTATATCTAAAAAGCAATTTGTTTTTGATTCCTGCTCCGTTGTTCCCTGATTCTCAAATTAAGATGAAACTCTTGCTTTGAGCATATTCCATACTTCCAGCTCTCTGTGAGGAAACATGAGTCGTTTTCTGCAACTTGTTTTTCTTCTTTAATAGATATGAAAGCATCAAAGTGGTATATGGAATCTTACCCCTTTTTTCTTAAGAGATTCATTGACTTTTTATTCCAGAAATTAACTTCTTACTGATGAATCACCAAGTCAATGCTAAAGATTTTGAAGACAAAATTTTTAAATATAACAACGATACGTACTTCTCATTTCCCAGAGATTAGCAAAACATATGATCAGTTGAAAATATCAAAACATATATCAAAGAGTAACTATATCGGTGGTTGACTATGGGGTTAAAACTGAAGCAACTAATACAAATAGATGAATGATGGAGTTCATCTTATAAATCTATAATAATAACAAAACTAAGACTTAGTAAATGAATTGAGCTCATTTGAGACCAAAACTGTGGGAGCTATATGACAATGTATCGTATTTTTAGGAGTACCGATGAAATCTATACATATATTTTTACATTTGGTTACTAATGTTTGAGATTCGTTTGAACAAGCTCTAGGAATATACGGGAACAGGATACCAAGTTAATATTAAAAATAGAATAAGATACTAGTTTTTTGACAAAAACAAAAAAAGAAAGAAAAAAGAATAAGATAGTCTAAAATGAGAAAGAGAAAATCCGGAGATGGTGGTGGTGGGTTTGAAGGCATCTTGTTTATTTATATCCTTAAAGGGAGCTGCAGAAGTTGTCAAAATACGTCATAGGTGACGTTTTCTGCCATATTTAACTATATTTTAAACACAATTAAAACAGAACTAAGCAATAAAGTAAGTAATTTATTGGTAAAATGGAAGATGGACCACGGAGTATAGACTTTTCATCTTTCTAATTTTCATCTTATTATATATTGTTTGGCATTATTCATGGCCAAATGAATGACTATATCGACATTAGTTTTTGTTAAAAAAAAATTAAAATTATTGATCATATAAAGAATACTTGATTCTATTAAATACAAACGCCATACAATACATTACTAGAGATAGTGCAAATGTTTGGAAAAGGTTATCTGACAGATCTTGAATTGAGTTTTACAATATAAAACACTTGAAAAAACAATTAATTCAGACAAAAAGATTGGTGGGTAAAAAGAAAAGATAGAACATATATTTACGGATTCTTTCATCTGCGGATTATCGTTACATCATCTATTACTTCATATATTTTGTCCAGAAGTATTTTAACACAAAAGAATTGTCCATAGTTCTTGATTAGACAGTGGAGTTAGATGGTAGTTTATCATCTAATGTCAATACTAGAGATTGTGCAAATGTTTGGAAAATAAAGTTATCTGAAAGATATCGTTTTGGGATTACAATATAACACTTAACTAAGGAACTAATCCAGACAAGTAAGAAAATATAGAAGTTCTATTAATGGATTGGTGATTCTCTGATCGGCTGATTACCCTTACATCATCTATTACATCATAGATAGTGTCCGTAGCTATTTTTTTAAACAAAAGAATCGTCTATAGTGATTTGATTATACCGTGGAGTTAATCATCTAATGTTACATCACCTAATACATCATATATATTGTCCATAACTAGTTTAAAAAGCAAAAGAATTGTCCGTAGTTATTGATTAGACAGTGGAGTTATGTAGTAGTTAATCATCTAAAGGTCACTACTCTTACCATGTCTATGATCGAACTCATATGTGAAGATGAAAATGTGGTTTAAAATACCACTAAACTAACGATCCAAATAAAATTGATCATAAAATATGATAATGGAAATTACGCGCGTAAACCAGTGTGGCGGGTAATTTGGTTAAACCGTGAAAAAGAGACCAAACACTTCACTTCCGACATGCTTCATGTTTGGTCCCACCTTAGTGGCACAAAAGTAATTTAACTAAAGTCCGAGGTCAAAACCTGATTCTGCCTTTCCTAGCCAGCCTTGTTGCCTGGTGTTGGAGCAGACGGCGAAATTGACGGAATCCAAACGATTACGGCTTTTAAACTCTTCTCCTGTCTCCTGATCGACTTCCGTTACCCTAACGGCAAGGGCACGCGCTTTCACGCTCCGTACCATCCTTTAAAAGCCAACACATTAATGACTTATCCAGTAATTAATATTCTGCATCCACGAACGCTAATTGTTTAGTACGTTCACAAAAGTAAAAAGTAGGTATAATTACAACCTATAAAGTCTGCTTTATTACTAGTACTAAAATACACAAATAAATTATTTTCGATGAGCTTTTAGTTTTTTACTAAATTGTTGAAGAATTGGTTATTTACTTTGGTTAGAAAAACCCAATTATGTTAAGTAGACTAATTATTTTGAAAATTAAGAACTCAAACTGATATTATTTCTTTCTTAAATACAAAATAAAGAAAAATAATAAAGATTATCGCCGGATTTTTTAAAAGATAAATACGCAGATCAATAAATTAGTGTAATAGAAAATAATAAATAATAGTGATGATTATTTGGATCTAATATTGCAATAACTAAACAAACAAGTGCATTTTATATACACTAGAGATGGAGAGTAGATGAACATAGATCGCGCAATAGTGGAGAGTTATAGAACATAGATCCTAAGGAATAGAAGAACATACGTGTAGGCAGATGATAGTGAAAAAGCGTTACGTAGAGACGGAAGGAGAGAAATCGATTCTCAAAGTTTTTTCAAGCAAAAGAAAGTTTGTAGGTGACATGGCTAAAGGAAACGTGACGTGGACAAAGTAAACTCTCTGATTGGTGTGAATTTTCAATTTGACGTGGAAAGCTTTAGAGTGGAGTACATTCCCTTTTTAACCGTGTTAGATATTTTCAATTTTTTTAAGATAATCTAATCTATAATTTGTAATTTAATAGATTTGATTCTAAATGAAAAAAGGTAAAAGTAAATATTAAGCACATATCTGTCACAGATTTACAGTTACTTAAACAACAACTTAGAATTGGGCATTCAACAAAAGAATCCAAAAGTTAAATTAAATAAATAAAAAAGTAAGAATTGTTTTATAGGTAGAGAGACAGAGAAAACGGTGATAAAAAGCCAGCAAAGAAGGTGTTGAGTCCTTAAACTCGAAACATTTAAGACGCGCTTCCTAAACAGGGTTCTTGAGCTACACAAAAAAGATTCCTTTTTGTTTTCCGTAACGGCGTTGATTTGTTTAGTACAAAGGGAGGCGAGTAAACCGGTTTAGCGGGAAAGCAAGAAGAGATTACAGTTACAGAGAAAGGATTAGTGATTTCGTTACGTTACGGTTCAGATCTCGTGGAAAGACTTTTCTACAACAATTAAATTCGCATTTAGGACACACTTTAATCTGGATTTGATTTCAAGCTTGGTCGTTGATTGAAGACAGAAGAAGAAAGAAGAGTGTGAGTAGTGATTGAGAGAAGAAGATTTAATCAAGATTCGATTTGGATTCGGTTGGTTAAATAAGAGAGCTAATGACGATAGGTATGTTGTTTTTGCAGTTTGGTAGTTTTTTCTTTCTTTAAAAATTTTCCGGCGAGTATTTTTTTATTTTCTGAGTATTTTTTTTTTGGCGGTAAAAAAAACAGGAGAGCATATGTACGGAGAGCTGTGGAAGTTATGTGCGGGACCTGTGGTGGATGTTCCTCAAGCTGGGGAGAGAGTGTTTTACTTTCCTCAAGGTCACATGGAACAAGTAAGCTTCCCCACATTTACTATTAGATCGGTTTGTTCCGATTAATATTTTTGATTTTTGATTTTTGATTTTTTTTGTTTTGTTTTGTTTTAGTTGGAAGCGTCAACGCAACAGGATTTGAATGCGGTGAAACCTACGAAACCGTTATTCGATCTTCCTCCAAAGATTCTTTGCAGAGTTATGAACGTTCGTCTTCAGGTTTGTTTTTCTGATAAAAACATAGATCCATTGACCAAGTTGATGATAGTAACAAACTTGATTAGCCTTTTATGTTGACTATGTGTTGGAGGGGGCTTTTTGAGTTGACTAGATGATCCATTTGTCTTCTTTTTATTGGAAATGATTATTAGTTAACAAATGATTTAGATGAACCTTACAAGCTAGAGAAAGTTTCGGATCTTGTTTGACTTAATGAAAGTCTTGATGGTTGATCACTTGTTGTTATTAGGCGGAGAAAGATACGGATGAGGTGTATGCTCAGATTATGTTGATGCCTGAAGGAACAGTGAGTGACTAATTTCACTTTTTTTTTTAAATTTCTTTTTAAGTTGTTGTAACATCCAATGAGTGTTGATCTCTAAATGTATAAACTGCATCAGGTTGATGAACCTATGAGTCCTGATTCTCCTCCTCCCGAGTCTCAAAGGCCCAAAGTTCACTCTTTCAGCAAGGTCTTGACTGCGTCTGATACAAGCACGCATGGTGGGTTTTCTGTCCTTAGGAAACATGCTACAGAGTGCCTTCCCCCACTGGTAATTTTAGGACACTCTTTCTGATTTGTTTCTTATCAAATGCCTTCACATTAGCCTTACAACATGAATTTCATTTTGTTATCTTCCTTTAGGATATGACCCAGCAAACCCCAACCCAGGAGTTAGTAGCCGAAGATGTGCACGGTTATCAGTGGAAATTCAAGCATATTTTTAGAGGTGATGAATCAATTACTATTACAAGATTTCCTCTGGGCCATATCCACAAGATACACTCATGTGACAATCAAGTTTTTTTTTGTGATTACTGATCTTGTTTTACTTGAAAACTAATATATAGGTCAACCAAGGAGGCATCTTTTGACCACAGGGTGGAGCACCTTTGTTACAGCAAAGAGATTGGTAGCTGGGGACACCTTTGTGTTCCTTAGGTATAACTTCACACTGCTCTGTTTCTTTTGATATCTTCCACATGTGGATTTTCGAATATTTACAAGTATATTATATTTGTTTAGAGGAGAGAATGGAGAGTTACGGGTTGGAATCAGACGTGCTAATCGTCAACAAACCAATATGCCATCATCCGTCATATCAAGTCATAGCATGCATCTGGGAGTGCTTGCTACTGCATGTCATGCTACTCAAACCAGATCAATGTTCACCGTTTACTACAAACCAAGGTATACAATCATTACTCTTTAAATTTAAACATCTTTAATGAGTTTCTTCGAAACACTGTACTTATTGATTTAATCTTGGTCTGAGCAGGACAAGTCAATTCATCATTAGCTTGAACAAATACCTGGAAGCCATGAACAATAAGTTCTCTGTAGGGATGAGATTTAAGATGAGGTTTGAGGGAGAGGATTCCCCTGAAAGAAGATTTTCCGGCACGGTTGTTGGTGTTAAAGACTGCTCTACTCACTGGAAAGACTCAAAATGGCGATGCCTAGAAGTAAAATTACTTTCCACCTTTTTATACATGCTTCTTAAAATGTTTATAAAGCGAAAAAAAAACTCAAACCCAATCTTCTCCTTTTTTGTGTAGGTTCATTGGGATGAACCTGCATCGATTTCAAGACCCGACAAAGTTTCACCATGGGAGATCGAGCCGTTTGTAACTTCAGAGAATGTTCCTCACCCAGTTATGCCAAAGAAAAGACCCCGTCATGTTACTGAAGTATCTGCACTTGGTAAGGCACAATCTAATGCTATTACATAGCTCTCAAGCTTCCTAACTACATATCTCACTCACACATCATGTCTTTAGATGTAGGAAGAACAGCTCCAAACCTTTGGAGTCCTGCATTGACTCAATCCCATGAGTTCGCACAATCTTGCATCACCTCACAGAGGAATTCTCCTCAGCAATGTTATCGTGAGGATGCTGCTAAGAAATCTGATTGGCCGATCAGTCCTTACTCTGCTGCCTCCAATGTCTCAAAAGCTTCAACACTTAACGACCAAATGGTTTTCCCAGTGGAGCAGAAGAAACCAGAGACCACAACCGCTAGTTATAGATTATTTGGAATTGATTTATTCAGTCCCTCTATACCGGCTTTTGAGGAGAAAACTGCACCCATGCAACCAATGAGCTTAACTCCAGACAGCAACTCAGACCCAAAATCCGAGGTTTCAAAATTATCAGAGGAGAAAAAGCAGGAGCCTGCACAAGCATCATCAAAAGAGGTCCAAAGCAAGCAAATCAGCTCTACAAGAAGCCGTACCAAGGTATGTTGTGAACACTTTGTATGCACATATAAACGTATCTTTCTTACATAATCTAGAATGTTTATATGAACACAGGTGCAAATGCAAGGCGTACCGGTGGGCAGGGCTGTGGATTTAACAGCACTAAATGGATACAGTGAGCTTATAGACGACCTTGAGAAGCTGTTTTCCATAGAAGGCGAGCTGAAGAGTCGGAATCAATGGGAGATAGTGTTCACAGACGATGAGGGAGATATGATGCTTGTCGGTGATGACCCATGGCCGTAAGTGACAGCTCTCTTATTTATTCAATAGATTCATTACACAAAAAATAAAAGAAACGCATATATGTTTATTGTGGTCACAGTGAGTTCTGCAACATGGTGAAGAGAATATTCATATGGTCAAAAGAGGAAGTGAAGAAGATGACTCCCGGGAACCAACTCAGGATACTGTTAACGGAAGTTGACACAACATTAACAACAACAGTCTCCAAAACTGAGAAACATTCCAACTAAGTTCTCTACACTCTCTGTCTCCTTATTTGCTTTGTCTTGCTCTGTCTGTGAGGGAGATCAAAAAGAGACCACGTCTCGTCGCAAGAAAAGTAAAAAGGTATTGAAAAAATGGCTCGTTTTTTTTGGGGAGCTTCTTGTGGAGAAAGAGGGTTTGTGGGGAGAGAGGGTTTTCTTCTATGGGTAGGCTTCTGTAAGTTTAATTATTTTTGTGTGTGTAAGATATGCGAAGATGTAACGAACAGAGGAGAAGAAAAATAAAGATTGCGAATTATGTAAGCCTTCTTTTCCTTTTATGCTTCTTAGTTTTGTTGTCTTTTAACTTTTCATGCAAGTGTCAAAACAGTCAATGTACATATATGTTGTCAAAACAAAACTTCCAGCACGTTTTCTCCTATTTCTTAATTGGTATGGTACTTGTTAGTAGTACTCGTAGTCGTAGACACAGGTTTTGTATATGTAGTAACTTAGATCAGATTCATCTGGAAATACCCTTCAGGTACGTACACTACTCGCTCTCCTCCAAAGAAACTTGGAAACAACATTAGGATCAGGGTTAGCCCTGAATCATGCGTAATGAAACATTTATAATAGGTCTTCAAAATTTTTGAAAAAGATTATATAGACATCAACACTTAAAGAAAAAATTTAAGCTCTGAAATTGATAAAAAAATATTTTTACATAGACATTGCTATATGTCCCCTCAAAAATCTCATGGCCGCCGGTCTGATTAGAATGTTTTTCTCTCACTGTTTCGTGGTCAAAAATAGACGAAGTAGTTATGGTATGATTTTTTTTCCACTTTATGGCTGGATATTCGTGTATCATTTTTTTTGTGACTGAGATTTTCGTGTATCATACAGCCCACAGTTAACATTTCGTAAGCATCCAAGTTATACCGTATACGAATCTCTTATACAGTATATACTATGCATACAAAGCATGTGGGAGCGTTGTGGAACCGGACATAATACGATATCACTAGGTGTTAGATAGTGAAGTTGATGGCGTTATCTATTGTTTGTATTCTTTCGTCCTCCCTCTCTCGCCCGGATTTGTGAATATTATTTTTTTTCATACCTTCATTGAATCAGCCATGTGATATTACCTCCTTTTCCAATAAATGTAGCGAAATTTGAATATATTTTTTCCCTTTCAAAACTCAATAAATAATTTTATCTTTTAAAAAAAAACAGTCAATAATCAATATACATGATCACAAGAATTCATATGTACATACATCAAACAATATTAAATGGATGATCATAAGGTTTTTAATCATTTTACAAATAACCTCTTTAGGAAACATTTCAAAAAGTAAATAAACAACGTTTTATAAAAAATATTTGAGTACTATAGATTATAGTTAAGTTGCATAGATGTGATGGCTCATTTTATAAACATTTTTTGTCATTTTATAAAATTATACTATTCGTTCATTTGCATATTAAAAGAAAAAATCATAAAATTGTCTTTCTCCAATGAAACTCGACCATAAATATCAACAATATATAAGTGGTCAGCCTTGTTATACTTACCAAGCTTCTCCAACCCCATTTACATCTACTAGAAAAGAAGAGACTAAAACGATGGAGGCTCATAATAGAAAACAGTCGGTCGGCGGCACAACCCTCCACACGTGTCATCCGTGCCGGCGCACCGTTCCGTACAGAATATACGCCGTAATTCACACATGTGGCATCTTAGCCCTCATGTACCATCATATAAACTCACTTCTCAAATCAGACACAACCCTAATAACATCTCTTCTTCTCATCTCCGATGTCATTCTCGCTTTCATGTGGGCCACCCAAGCTTCCCTCCGGTTTAACCCGGTTCATCGGTCCGAGTACCCTGAGATGTATGCAGCTAAACCGAAGGAAGACTTTCCAAAGCTGGATGTGTTTATATGCACGGCTGATCCGTACAAGGAGCCTCCCATGATGGTGGTCAACACTGCTTTATCTGCGATGGCCTACGATTATCCATCCGACAAGATCTCTGTCTATGTGTCGGATGATGGAGGATCCTCCTTGACGTTGTTTGCTTTGATGGAAGCTGCTGAGTTCTCTAAGCTTTGGCTGCCATATTGCAAGAATAACAATATTCAAGATCGATCTCCTGAAGTATATTTTTCATCACAGTCATATGCGTGGAATGACGAAGCTAATAATCTAAAGGTATGTATTATACGTTAAGTTGTTAAGTATATATAAATAGACTTCAGATAACCACGTTCTCGAATTAACACTTAAATATTAATTATCAAAAACTATCAAGACCGTTGCAATGATCGTTCACTTAATTAGTAATTTACATTCTCTTTCATTTAGTAATCTTTCATCACATTTTTAAAACTGTAACTCTTTCAGTTACTTTGAATTATGGAATAATATTCCTTATAATTTTTAACATACAAAAAATAGAACGTACTAAATTTCGTAAATAGAAACAAAAATACAATTGGTAGGAACAGACAAAACAAATTTGATTGTATTTGTAAAAATAATGGAGTCATTGTTGTGCAACTTCTGCTGAAGGGTCAATCCTTCACAACTCTACGACTCCTTATCGTTAGGGGTGTGGCACAGATAGGATATTCGAGTTGAATTTTTGAAGATAGTCGTGATCCACGATTTCATCGAATAATTAATATCTATTTCGATTAGTAGTCATCCGGATCTTTGGTGTCTCGAATATTCGAAGAATTTCAGATTTTTAATTGGATATCTAATTTGATCCGTATAAATAAAATAAATATTTTAAAATAAACAAAAAATCTAAAAATAATATCATTATATTTCATTTTAATTATCGTTTTAGATTTATATAGACAGATTAAAAATCATTTAATTTTGTATACTTTCTAAACAAAAATATTATTACTTATATATTTAACCACATTTCATCTAATAAAAATAAAATATATAAAGTTAATAAATTTTACATTGAAATCATAAAACATACTTATTTTGAAACATATTTATTTCTACAACAATAACTAAATTAAAACGTAAAGAATACAAATTTATTAATTTTTGAAGTTCTAAAAAAACATTGTAGAATTGTTATAAATATAATATAATATTTATAATATATATATATATTATACAATGTGGTAAATATATGTATATATACATATAACATATCATATAACGGATCGAAACGAATATATATTTATGAAAATATTAGTATTTGTAATTTAATTTGTTTTTTATGGATATTGTTTTCTGTATTTAATTTGTTTCGTAAAATTAAATATATCAAGATTTTCGATTCAAATATAATCAAATTTATTGATACTTTTTGCCCACGCCTACTTATTGTATCACCTCGACGATAATGTTTATGTTCCCAAGATTTTTGGTAACTGTGACATCACCTTTATTCATTTGTTAATGTTTTAACCATTGAGGATTTCTCCTAAACGATAAGATTAAGACTGGCACTCGTAACCTAATTACTTTCTTAGAAGAGCATTTCCAATATAAAACTCTATTTTTTCCTCTAAAATAGAGTAAAAGAAAATATGGAACAAAAATGCTTCAACCCCACTCTATTTTCTACTCCATAATGGAGTGATGAACAAACAAAAAATAGATTACTCCATTTATGGAGTAAATTCTATTATGGAGTAGAATATGGAGTATGCTTGGAGTGTTTTCTATTCCATATTCTCTTTTACTCCATTTTAGAGTAAAAAATGGAGTTGGGTTGGAGATACCCTAAGCGATATGAATCATAGGACTTGTATTATTGTAGTTATCTAAATACTTTTTCCTAAGTATATCTCTAACTTCGTTTTGTTTGGAATAAGACCATAATGGAGTAATTATGGATTTCCTACATAAATTAACATAAATTAAGTACCTTTTTATTTTTTGTGTTCATTATTTCATTTTCCATTTTAAAATGAAATATGGTCGAAATATACCAACTCCATTACAAAGTTATTCTATTTTATAAGAAAATGAAATTTTACATTAGAGATTTGTATATTAATTTCCTAAATGCTTTCTTCTAAACTATACGACTTCTAGACATATATATGTAACCAAAGTATTATCAACCGATGATATTTATCTTTAACATAAACAGGATCAAGTATTATACAACTTTCTAAACTTTTCACAAGAAATAAAATACTTAAGAATACTGATTGAGTAAATTATATGAGCCAATGAGATGTATATGTAACCAAAGTATTATCAACCGATTATGTTTTTTGGCTCATGGCCAATGAGACAAACTATGGAATTATCGTAACCTAACAAACAGGTATATGTAATTATCGTGCGGTGGAACAGATATTGTACGAAGATATGAAGAGCAGAGTAGAACATGTGGTTGATAGTGGTAAGGTTGACACTGAGTATATCACATGCGATCAATTTCGTGGAGTATTTGATTTGTGGACCCACAAATTCACTCGTCAAGAACATCCCACTATTATTCAGGTATTTATATATAATCTTTATAAATAAAATCCATTCTCAATACTATTTATATATAATATTCTTAAGAGATCAGTTCTCTAAAACAACACATTCTTAACATAATAATTACAAAAGTTAATTTGAATAATCTGAGAGCAGGTGTTGCAAAATAGCGAGATAGACATGGACGATACCGGGAAATATATAATGCCAAACCTAATCTATGTGTCAAGAGAAAAGAGTAAAGGTTCATCACATCATTTCAAAGCCGGTGCTCTTAATACCTTGGTATCACCTAAACCCTACCTCTAACTGGTTTTCAATTTGATTTAATTAGCTAGCATTTTGGTTTACATTTAGTTAATTGAATCTTTTATTTTTCATAATAGCTACGGGTCTCTGGGGTGATGACGAACTCACCAGTCATTCTAACACTAGACTGTGACATGTACTCGAACGATCCTACGACCCCGGTTCGTGCCTTGTGCTATCTAACTGACCCTAAAATCAAATCCGGTTTAGGTTACGTGCAGTTTCCTCAAAAGTTCCAAGGAGTAAGCAAGAATGATATCTATGCATGCGAGTACAAACGCCTCTTCGAAATCAATATGATTGGCTTTGATGGGCTTATGGGGCCGAATCACGTGGGAACTGGTTGTTTCTTCAATCGGCGGGTTTTCTATGGCCCTCCTTCTAGTTTGATCTTGGCTGAGATAGATGAACTTAAACCTAATCGGATCGCGGATAAATCCATCGAGGCTAAAGATGTTTTGGAATTGGCACATAGTGTAGCAGGATGCAACTACGAGCACAACACCAATTGGGGATCCAAGGTAAGATAAAATCATCACCCCTCACATATCAGCTTGACCTAGTCTTATTTTATACAGTATTTGTTATAAACTTAGTCGTTAAAAAAAAAAAAAAAAAAAAAAAAAAAAAAAAACTTAGTCGTTAAAGCTAAACAATATTCATTCTAAAGTTAAAGTTAATGGATTGGGAATATTTTTTTTTCTAATTGTCTAACATGTAGGTGCACTAGTTATAAGAACTATCTTAGATAAATGTAGTTAATATTAATTCTTCATTCATAGAAAACATTTATATTATCCTCTTTTGTAATAGGTTGTCTAAGATGGGTTTTTAAAGACAATGTTAGTTGTCTCTTGACATTTGTAATATCTTTATTTTCTTGTTTGTTATAATATCTAACATCCCCTTATCATTAATAACAATGCAGATTGGATTTAGATATGGATCTTTAGTAGAAGACTACTATACTGGGTATAGGCTCCACTGTGAAGGATGGAGATCAGTCTTTTGCAGTCCCAAAAGACCAGCATTTTGTGGCGATGTCCCTAGAAGTCTATTTGATGTAGTAAGCCAACAAAAAAGATGGGCTATTGGCCTTCTTGAAGTTTCCATCTCAAGATATAGTCCCCTTACGTATGGAATCAAATCAGTGGGGTTGCTAATGGGTGTGGGCTATTGTCAATATGCATTTTGGGCGTTTTGGTTCATACCTATCATCGTATATGGATTCTTGCCCCAACTTGCCCTCCTATATGGGGTTAGCGTCTTGCCCAAGTCATCAGATCCATGGTTTTGGCTCTACATCTTTTTGTTCCTTGGTGCTTACCTGCAAGATCTACTAGACTTTTTACTAGAAGGAGGAACTTATGGCGGATGGTGGAACGATCAAAGAATGTGGATGATAAGAGGATTCACTTCATTTTTATTCGGCTCCATTGAGTTTACTCTTAAAACCCTAAACCTCTCCACTCATGGATTCAACCTCACCAGCAAAGCCAATGAAGATGATGAACTAATTAAGAGGTATGAGAAAGAGATCTTTGATTTTGGACCCTCTTCGTCCATGTTCTTGCCCTTGACTACGGCCGCAATAGTAAATCTTTTTGCCTTTGTTTGGGGGATTTATGGGCTTTTTATTTGGGGAGAAAGATTTGTTCTTGAGTTGATGTTGGCGAGTTTTGCGGTGGTGAATTGCTTGCCGGTTTATGAAGCTATGATGTTGAGAAAAGATGCCGGAAAATTACCAAAAAGGACAAGTTTATCAGCTTTGTTCGTCACAGTTATTCTGATTGTGTCAGGCTACTTCGTCCTCAAGTAACTGCATGGATTAGCATTGTGTAGTTTCATTTACAATTATGTTTGGAATGTGGTAAACTAGAAGGTTGAAATAATAATGTGATGAAATTTCTATCTTTCACTTGTCATAGAACATAGATTTTGGATGATCTATGAGGATACATGATATTATACCGTGTAAAATAAGGGCTTCTTTCAAATTCTTTGGCAACCAAATGGGAGAAAGAGAGGGAAGTAGTTACTATAAACTATTTACTGCTTCCTTGGCATTCAGAAGATTTTTTAGGTTCTTTCATATAAATCTTGCACATAATAGGCTAGAATCACTCCCTTTTTTTTTTGGAACTCAGGCTAGAATCACTCCCACATGTCATTTATTACAACAAAAGCAATTAAAGCCTTTGATAAATGAATGTGTTACAAAAAAAGTCTTTGATTAATGAGAAAAAGCAAACGGAAAACAACAACAAAGATGAGGGTTGTGGGCAACGCAATAGCAAGCATGCAAGATGGTATTTATCAAATGCTTAAACGTTGAAAGGCATCGGCTGCTTGCTTTCTCTGATAAGCTGCATTGCCCATCTTTGCAACAACCCTGGAATGCATCCTCTCCAAAAGCTCAGGTCGACCTCTCACAAAATTAACATTTCCAAATTCCAGTTCCCCAGCCCCCTTTATTCTTTCAAATCCCTACCAAAATCAAAAGAAAACAAAATGCATTTATCAAGATGAGAGATAAGACCGGATTTAAAAATTAGAGGACCATGCATAAACATCTTTTGTTTTAGTCAAAAAAACTATTTAATGTTAATTTAATTAAGAAAACAGTTTGGCAATTTAGAAGCCATGTTATATCTATGTATAATAGTTTTTTTTAAATTTGAGGATTAAGACTAACGGGTGTATCCAGAAACTATTTTGATGAGAACGAGAGAAAGGGGGATAGAGATGATTATTAGGTTATCTAGCATGCAAATACTCCCTCTGTTTTATTATAAGTGTCACTCTACAGCTGTGCACACGGATTAAGGTAACAATTAATTTTATATATTTCCTATATAAAAACACAGTTACCCATACACCTAACCATATTTTAACCAATAGAAAAACAAATTACATAATAAAATTAATAAATGTTGCATTGAAAACCGAAAACGACACTTATTTTGTAACGCAAAAAAATCTCTACAACGACACTTAATATGAAACGGAGGGAGTACAAAGCTTACATAATACTCGAGTACGGAGAAGAGATCTGGGAGATGGCGGCTATAGAATCTTGCAAATATCTTTCTGTGATTTAGCTCTTCAAGATTCACGATGACAAAACTGTTGTTGCTTTGGCTCCATGAGATTATTGAATCAAGTGAAGGATCATCCACACTTTCATATACAACACTGAAGATTCTAAACAATCCCTTTGGAATTTTGTTCACCATTGCTAAACAAACACTTTCAGATCTTAAACCCCTTGAAACCAACAAAACAACGCCACCAGAAACCAGATCTGCTGAAACGAAAACCCTAATATCTCTATAATATTATCTGAGAAGTCATTTTCTTAGGTGTCGCGCTCACGTTAACTCTCACGCTGGTTGATTACTATGATATCCCTAATGAATTAAAAATACAATTAAATATTATTTCCTTTTCAAAAATTTCCAAATAATAATATAAAATAAAAATGAAACATTTATAAAATTTACAAAACTATTTAAAAATGAAAATATAAGTATATATAATATGATTTAATAAAAAAAAGAAAGTTCACAAAATAGTAATATTTAATTTAAATGTATCTCTATAATATTATTTGAGAAGTCAGTTTCCTACGTGTCGCGCTCACGTTAACTCTCACGATGGTTAATTACACAGATACTTTTAATAAACAAAAATATTAAATAAGATTGATATTAATAATGTATTTCCTTTTCTCATAATAAGATTTTACTTAATTTTTTAATTTATGTTTACATTTTAAACACACATATACAAAAAAAAAAAGAAATATTTCTGAAATAAAAATGTTTATATATAAACGAAATTAAATATTTTTTTCGACATTTTCATAAAACAACATTTTTAGTGTTTATTTAAGAGATATTAAAAAATAAAATAATTTTGTTTAACACATAAATATTCTGATCAAATAATTTCAATTTTTTTTTTAAATAGCGTAGCACTATACACTATTAATGAAATGAAAATATAATATTTTATTGTTATTAAAAATTCTTTTTAATATATAGTTTGCTTTTTAATTTTATGTTTTTTATGTTTATGGAACTTAATAGATAAATAATCAAAATACTCAAGTAAATCTAAGTTCTCATTTTTAAGATTGTTTAAAAAATTTCAATTTACCTTTTAAGAAATCTAAGGTATAAAATAATTTAGAATTTATAAATATTTAATTATTGTAAATATTAATATGTTCTCATGAAATTTCAAATGTTTATCTTTATACNCAAGTAAATCTAAGTTCTCATTTTTAAGATTGTTTAAAAAATTTCAATTTACCTTTTAAGAAATCTAAGGTATAAAATAATTTAGAATTTATAAATATTTAATTATTGTAAATATTAATATGTTCTCATGAAATTTCAAATGTTTATCTTTATACTCATATTTATGATTGTAAATTCTTATTGATCGTCACTTTATTTTCAATATATCTTAAAAATCAACATATGTCCAATTATTAAAAATCTTATAAAATACTTGCATTAAGCGGTAAATAAAACTGATTTGATTTGATTTAATTAGAAAAATATATCTAACTCAATATACTCACAAAACGAGTAATGGAACGAATCTAACTTATATCAAAAATAAAAGATCTAACTACAACAAAAACATATAATTTTAAAATAATTATTTATTTATTTTTATACATATAGATTACAGGATGACTCAAAAATATCAATATAGAAAAAAAAAATATTAACCAACTGTTATAATTCAGTTTTTTAAAAGAAATTATATATATTGAGGAGGATCACAAGGTGTTGGAGGATGAGGTTTATTTTCCAGAAATGGAATTGTTGACAGTGCAGGAAGAAAAGGAACTGCTCCCGGGGCAAGCTGAAGATGAACAGATGATGGAGATGGAAGGGAAAACGAAGGAAGCGGAAGGGGGAAAGAAGAAACAGGGATCTCGTAGGAGACTTTATAGGCCCACAATCAGCACCGCAATGAGTGCTAAAATGAGAAATGTCAATGTACTCACTTCACCACGTAAGCGAGGAGCAGTCAGGGCAGGAGCTCGACAAGGCGAGAGCAGCAAACAGGCGGATGGTAAGGTCTCTTCAAACCTGAGCTTAGGAAACCCACCAACCTAATGTTATGGATCAAGGCCTTTTTGCACGAAGATTATGTCAGCAGGTTGTGGTCGTCGTTTTCCTGTTTTGTTTCTTCTTTGTTTTAATAAGCTCTATGAGCATGTGGTTGTTCTTTTGTTGTTCCAGTTCTATGCTCCTGGTATTTCTCCTATTAGTATCAGGAATAAGTCATGTATGCTCTAAAATAAGGATTAATAATGGTATTCTGGTTTTATGCTTATGGATCTTGTTGGTACCAATAGGAGTTGTTGTTCTGGCTTTTTGTACTACCTTGATTGAATATGAGAATATGCTTTTAGAGTTCAGAAAGGATAGCTCAGGATTTAATGTTCTCTGCCTTCAGTTAACACTGTGGTTTGAAATGGTTTTATTGGTTATGAAGATGGTTAACATGTTTATCTCTCTGATCGTTGGGGTCTTGGTCTCATTAAACCGAGAATGTGCTTATCAAATGTTTCTGGAAGAGAAGGATCCTATTCGAATAGTAATACTCATACTCCTACTACGTTGGTGTGTTATCGGTAATGAAGGAATTGGGCCTCAGCCGGAAGGAGTATGGGAATACAATCGTTCCATATTTATTTTCAAGTTTGCCCCACGACTACTGTTACACACAGTGAGGTGTGTGTGGCTTAAGGGTTGCTTGGTAACGTATCTGTATGGGTTTATGTTATTTTATTATTCTTTTGTTGGATATGTTGAAACACATTTCTACTATCTGTGGCTCTGGAGGACACACATGGAACTTATGGTCGGAAATATTGAAATGGCAAGATGGAGTAATTTGCTTCACTGGAATTGGGTTTTTTCGGAGTTCATTACCTCCTTTTCTTTAGCTTCCTTGAGGCTCTGATATATATTTTTTAATGAGAGTTCTTAGTTGGAATTGTCGTGGAATGGGAAGCAAATGGACTATAAGCTATCTCAGAGAAATATGGCATAAACATAAACCCGATTTCTTATTCTTATCTGAAACAAAACAAGAGTTTGCATGGGTTCAAGAGTTCCAGGTTCATTTTGGTTATGATAATTTGATCACTGTTGACCCAATCGGGCGGAGCGGAGGACTAGCGCTTTTTTATAATAATGAGTACCAAGTAAAGATGCTCTATTCTAGTAATCGGATGATAGATGTGGAAGCAATGACACTTGGGAAACAGGTTTTTTTAACATTTGTTTATGGCGACCCAGACCAAAGATTGCGAGATCAAGTAGGGGAAAGACTGACGAGGTATGGACTATCTCGATCACAACCTTGGTTCCTTATCGGAGATTTTAATGAGATTACTGGTAATCATGAGAAAGAAGGGGGAGTTGCGCGAAGACCAGATTCTTTTGTTTCTTTCAACAATATGATTCGAAATAGTGGGTTATTAGAATTTCCGGCTAAGGGAAATAAGATGTCGTGGCAGGGAAGGAGAGGGAAAGGGAAAGAGGCAGTGATGGTTAGATGCCGATTAGATCGTGCTCTAGCAAATGAAGATTGGCATACACTATTTCCGTGTTCTTCCACAGAATACCTAGGAATGGTTGCGTCTGATCACCGTCCGGTAGTGGCTTATCTGGACAATACAGTCTCTCGAAGGAGAGGGCAGTTCCGGTTTGATAAAAGATGGATAGGCCGGGATGGTTTTATGGAGTCAGTTGTTACAGGCTGGACGGAAACTAATGGGGGAAGTGATGAGGAATTTGTTACAAGGATTGCTAATTGTCGTCATGAAATTGCTAGATGGCGGAAGAATAATCCACCATATGGGAAGGAGAAGATAGAAGAACTCCAGAAAGCTCTGGAAGAGGTTCAAATGGATGATTCTCGATCTCAAGAGGATATTCTTGACATCTCCAGGAAACTCCAGGATGCTTACAAGGATGAGGAGGAATATTGGCATCAGAAAAGTAGAAATATGTGGAATACAAATGGCGATCTCAATACCCAGTTTTATCATGCTTTGACAAAGCAACGACGAGTTCGTAATAGGATTGTGGGATTATATGATGATGTTGGAAATTGGATTACGGATGACAATGGGGTTGAAAAAGTGGCAGTAGATTATTTTGAGGGTTTATTTAATACCAATTCTCCTTCAGAGTTTGAGGAGTTTTTGGTGGAGGTTAATCCTTGCATCACTGCGCAGATGAATCAAAGACTATTACGTGCAGCGTCAGAGGAGGAAGTACGACAAGCTCTTTTTATGATGCATCCTGAAAAAGCACCCGGACCTGATGGAATGACCGCTCTTTTCTTCCAACATGCCTGGCATATTATAAAAAAGGATCTTGTGGAAATGGTGAACAACTTTTTACTTTCAGGAGAGATGGACTCACGATTAAATATTACTAACATCTGTATGATTCCGAAGACGGAGAGACCTACAAAGATGACAGAATTGAGACCCATCAGTCTATGTAATGTAGGATACAAGATTATCTCGAAAGTCTTATGTCAACGATTGAAGCTATGTCTGCCCCTACTTATATCGGAAACTCAGTCGGCTTTTGTGGCAGGCAGGTTAATATCGGATAATATCCTTATAGCTCAGGAGATGTTTCATGGGTTGAGGACTAATAATGCTTGCAAAAGCAAGTTCATGGCGATAAAAACAGATATGAGCAAGGCCTATGATAGGATAGAGTGGGCTTTTATTCAAGCTCTTCTTGGCAAAATGGGTTTTGATTCACATTGGATCAAGCTAATGATGGAGTGTATATCGTCAGTTCAATATCGAGTGCTTCTAAATGGACAACCGCGTGGTCTCATTCGTCCACAAAGGGGCTTACGGCAGGGGGATCCATTATCACCTTATCTTTTCATTCTATGTACCGAGGCTTTAATTGCAAATATCAAAAAGGCGGAAAGAGAGAAACACTTGACTGGTATGAAGGTGGCAAGAGCCTGTCCAGCCATTTCGCATTTACTATTTGCGGATGATAGTCTTTTCTTTTGCAAAGCGCAACCTGATGAGTGTCGAGTCATTCTGAGGATACTTAAGGAATACGAGGCTGTTTCGGGACAATTAATAAATTTCCAGAAATCGTCCATCCAGTTTGGGCATAGGATCGCAGAATCCGGGCGTCAGGAACTTCGTGATATACTGGGA